ACACACTTACTTACGTAGTAAGTAAAAGTAAAGTAAGTACGACAAGTAAAGTAACGTACGTAACGAAGAAACGTAACGTACGTCGTCGTACGACTATAGTAACGTACGTACTCTCTCTCTCTCTCTCTCTCTCTCTCTATATATATATATATATATATATATATATATCTGCATTATAGAAAATGGAAAGATATTCCATACATCAGTCATCATGGATATGTGTTGCATGTGCATCATTAACGACGGATGGTGATTTACCATAGTCGCTGATGATGGATTCTCCCAGGCATATCACCGGGAATGTATTTTTGTGTCCCAGGGTCTCCCATATATCCACCAGTGGTATTTGATGTATTTTACTGTCAGAAAATCATTCTATGAGATTATTCTTGAATGCGACTATGGGCAAAAAAGTACAGTAGCCCAATAAACTATGGAAAACCTATAGTCCATTGGGTTATCATCGTCCAATAAAATGGACACTGCAGAGTAGGACTCACCAGAACAGGTTTTGACCCCCATGGTCCCACTTTCTGAGTTTCATTGGATGGCGATGGCCTAATGGATCGTTGTTCGTTCATAGTCCATTAGGTTGTGTTACACTTTCCTATAACCGAGGTTTAGAAGCTTCATTACCATTCTAACAGCCTGTTCTTATTACCATGGCTGTTGTATGTAACCATGATTTTAAAAACTCTGCGGGTCAACTTGGAACTCCCATCAGTTGACCCCACTCGCCATCTCGCTTGGTGGACCTTCCCTTTTCCTTGGATCTCAAAATTTGGGTCTATATTTTAGGTATATGAACCTGGACTTGTTTCCTTTCTTAATAAAAGTTTTACTCTACATAAGATATGTTGCTAGAGCAGCGTAGGCCTAGCAAATCGGTTTGGAGTAAGGGGCGATTTAATTCAAGTGGAAGGCTCTAAAAGGGCAAAAGGAGATTTCAAAAGGACATGGACGGAAGCAGTAAGAAGAGATATGGTGACTGATAGTCTGAGTAACATGATTCATGTGGGTGATTCCAAATAGTTTGAATAAAGCTCAGATGATGAGGATAATGATCAGATATTTTACTAACAGTGTTCCTATTGTATAAGAAGTGCATTACCTGTATTTTCCTGCTTTCTTTATTTATGATTTAGAACATTATCTTCAACAACCATTTTATGTTGGTCTTCAAATATCATTAAAATATAATTGAGGATAATGATCAGATATTTTACTAACAGTGTTCCTATTGTATAGGAAGTGCATTACCTGTATTTTCCTGCTTTCTTTATTTATGATTTAGAACATTATCTTCAACAACCATTTTATGTTGGTCTTCAAATATCATTAAAATATAATTGCCATTTTGGCTATATCTATATATATCTCTATATATATAACTGGACTAGAACAGAGTTTTGTCACGTGGCTCCATTTTCGTCTTTAAACTTGTTCCTGAAGGCTACCCTCTCTTCTGTTGTCGATTTCTTTCAAGAGTTTTTCTTTTCCCTAAATTTTTGTCATTTTCTCGTAATTTAGGTAAACATAATATTCTAGAGAACTTAAACTTATGGTTCAAGTAAGAAATTTTTTGACAAAAATGCTTGAAATGTTTCATATAAAAGAAATATTTTCCATCATTCAAATGTCCAAACATCATGTAACTTTTGGTGGTGGTTGGGGGGGGTGGGGTCGCACATTTTTTAAGGTCTATTATCTGTATCTATTAATTTATATAGTACTCAACAATAGAATGATATGCAAAGTCATTTAGACCAGGTGGAGTCCAGGTGATTGAGCTGGGTGGACTAATATGTAGACCAAGCCCAGTTCAAGGGCTGAATTTTTTGAACCATGGTCATAATCGGTATTGCAGTCAAAATTTTCAAACATCACCCATTATTTTGTGATATTTGTAATTACAGCCAAAGCCCATTCACATTATGACAGTGTGAACGTATTTCAGAAGCTTGCCTAAATCTTTTACTGTATTTTGATGAGCAATAATTTTCTTTGCAACTAAATTTCAAAAAAATAATTTTACTTGTAACAAAAGTATGTTGCTCGAGTTTTCAGGCACTTCTTGTACCAGCAGCTTTGATTGCTGAGAATGCAGGCTCTGAAGGATCAATTGTGATAGAGAGGATTTTGGGTAGCGATTGGGAGATGGGTTACAATGCAATGACATACAAATATGAAAATCTTTTCATTGAGGGTGTGATAGACCCTTGTCGAGTTTCACGGTGCGGGCTTCAGAATGCAGCTTCAATTGCTGGAGTGGTTCTTTTGACTCAGGCTGCCCTTTTTGAGAAGATAAAGAGTCCTAAACCGACTGTTCCTCATATCCCTGGGATTTCTCCTTGATGTTTGCTTAGCAGTTGGTCCTTCCAGTTTATCATGAGAAATAATTGCTGGTCAATATGAGAGGTAAAAAGGTGAGAATTATTCAGCTCCTCTTTCTTGGTATTAGTTCTTTGAGTGCTTTTTTTGTGATATACTTGTCTGATCTTCCGTCTGCACTTGTAGCAACTAGATGTTTGCTTTCTGTCAAATTGAATAATATGTGCTCTTTCCCTTTTACCTTCAGGTGGGAACTTAAGTTGCTCTCTGTTACTGTGTTAAAATCGGTTTTATGATGTGGACAGATGCTGACAAATATGGACTGCCTCCTTTCTTGCACATTGGTGATCTCGTGTAATAATCTTCTTAAAGCAATATCCAGTTTTGGTTATACTCGTGGTCAACTTGAGGTTTACCTCACACCAAGCTACTCCACTTTCTGTATGAATTCCCATTTGTATGCACCTTCAGTAACTTGATGCGTATACTAATATCTGGGCTGTATACAACACAGAAAAGGAAGTAAAAAATATAACTTGGTGGTTATCTGTTCTATTTCCCTGGATGAGTGTTTAAAATTGGACGATCTGTGTGCATTGCAGGCTCTCTTGAAACTCACTGTTTAAAATTCGACGGTCTGTGTGCATTGCAGACTCTCTTTCTGAGTGAGTATGCTATGCTGTAGGGGGGAGCAAAATGGCAAAATTTACACTTGATCCCATGTAAAAATGACTTCTTAGGACGGTTTTCATATCTGAGAATCACTAAATGCTTTCTCTCTCTCTCTCTCTTTCTCTCTCTCCTTTTAGGTAAATTGTTTTCCAAGATACTTAGATCTGTACGTCCAAAAGCGGACGGTCAAGTAATCTCGAGGTGCTTGTTTAAGATTTACAATTATTATTATTATTGGCTTTGATGCGATAGTTGGGTTTCCAAAACTATACGCGATACTTGGGTTTCCAAAACTAGTTCTTACTTGGGTTTTGCTTGAGGAAGTAAATGTAAAGTTTGGCATGTGGGAAATCGGTCAATGGGCTTCGAAAGGACTCATTTGAATAGAGATTTGAGGACATTACGCGGCTGTGTTAATTTATTTATCTATTTATTGAGTTATTATTACTATTAACATTATTATCATTTTTAAATTTAATTAATAATAATATTATTGTTTTCAGGAGACCCACAATTTTCGATTACTCTTATAAATAAGAAGACCCCTGATCCACCGCAAGCTTGATACCAGATCATAAACCTAAAATTAGACGTGAATAATGGTATTTTACCTTGCTATATTTGCCACTCTTTAAAGGTGAGGTTTGTATAAGATGACAACCTTATACTATTGAGGTAAGGTAAGGTGTGCCTCAAAAATATGTAAAAAAATGCAGTTTTGGTGCTTGTCAAGGATATTGGGCACGCCACTGAATGAGAACCTTCAAAGCATTGTCAAGATATTGGGCACGCCACTAAATGAGAAAATTTGTGGCCAAATTACTTAAGGATGGTACATGAAGCCGTAATTACCACAAATAAGCAAAGAAGTCCAATGCATACATGAAGGAGAGAACAGTTCAAGTCGTATGAAATGGTAATGGGCATCATATAGGGGAAAAAGGTAAAATATGGGGGAAAAAGAGGTAAAAAGGAAATATTGGAATGATGAAAATAACCCAAGAAAGTAAAAAAAAAACCAAGTATTGGAGGAATATTTGAAAAAATACATTCCAAAACAATGGTGTTTGAAAACAACAGCTATTTTCACCTTTTTTGACATTATTTTATGTATAAAATTGGAAACCCTATATAACGGGTGTTAAGACGTAGGTGTTAAGACGTTATATAACGCCTGTTTCGACAGAAACAGCAGCAGTCACCATGGATGGGGGAAATTAACATCACAAAACACATTATTTCTGTTAAAACAACTGTTCTGTAAACCATCCAATGCATGATAACCTCCCTGCCCTTTCAGGATCCCCTTCATAATGCACACAGTAAATTAAAGGCCATGGTTTGCATAAGGTCGCAAGCTTAAACAATCAGATTAAGGTGCGCCTCCAAATGTTCTTAGGATAGCTTGAGAATTTATTTTCATCTCTAATTATAAAATTTTAAACTCCAAAAATATGTTAAATCTAATAGATATGTAAACACACGAAAATCTTGAAAATGAAAAGTTGAAATAATATATTGCAAGATACACTATTTTTAGGACCCAAAATCTTTTTTGTTTTTCATTTTATTTATTTATTTATTTATTTATTTGTACATCTTGATATTGAGATAATCAATTAGGGGACTTTCCAAAACCAAAACTAACCTTTTATAATGAATTTTTGAGATGCCGCTTAATTCTATGTTTTATAAATTTTTTCTTAAGTTAAAACATGGGAAGTTTACGTACGTACCGGGTTATTTTACCATTATAACAATATGGCTCAAAGATAGCCGTTATTATCTGAAAGGACGGATCCACGGTTTTTTTTTTGGCCAAGTTTACTCCAAATCTAAATATCAGACCGCTTTATTTACCCCTCCGAAAACTTTGACTTCATTTCTTTCTTTTTTTTAATATTGCTCTCTTATTTCTCTCTTATGCCTTGCATGCCCTCGGTCCTCTCTTTCTTCCTGGTTTAATATCTCTCTCTGCCCTATTCCCATGACCAGCAGATCTTACTCTCTTACGGATTTGGGTTTTTTTTTTTTTCTCGGAGGAAAACTATATGCTGCTCAAAAAAGGGGTAATTTTCTTAATGTATTCAAATTGCACGTATATGTTATATTAAACCATTTGATTTTTTTTTTTTTTTTCAACTCGAGACGGTTTGATGGTTCAAATGTTTAACGACTTGGTTCAATTAAAAAAATACAATAGAAGATGGCCTGATGCCTGATGTTTCTGACATTAGACCACAAGGGTTCTTAGACCACATGGTTCAATCGAAAATTCAACAAAAGGTGATCTAATGTTAAAACCATCGGATCATTTAATTTCGATAAAAAAATTACAATAAAATACAATCCGATGGTTCAAACATCAGACCACATCGTTCACTTAAAAAATAAAAAACCATCGGACCACATCATTCACTTAAAAAATAAAAATTAAACAAAATGCAATCCAATGTTAGAAAAACTGTACCGCTTGATTTCCACAAAAAATTACAATATTATACAATCTGATGGTTCTAACATCAGACCGCTTCGTTCACTCAAATTTTTCAAAAAAATATTTGTTGTTTTAACCATCAGACTGCTTTTCTCATAAAAAGTTGCAGCGGATTACGATATGAAGACCAAGGGCAACCTTGACAAAAAATAAAAAGTATTGGGGTAAGCAAGTCGTAAGATTTTTAAAAAATCGGACCGAAGGCAAACTTGACAAAATTAAAAAAAATCAAAGATCCGTTATGCCAAGTAATAACGGGCTATTTTTGGGCCTTACCCGATCTGTTAAATTTCCCTAAAAATATCCTGAGCATTGCACGTTACAGAAATTGGAAGTTTAATTTCCTTATAAAAGGATATATACAACTTTCTAGTCATCCCAGTTCCTTCACAATTTGCCAGCTTTGTGACCCTATCCAGTCGGCTAATTTCTGTTGCATCTTTACAAGCATTTTCGATATACAATGGCTCTTTCCTGTCATCCCTCACATTTTGCCGGCTTTGTTCCCCTATCCAGTCAGCCAAATTTCTGTTGCATCTTTACAAGCATTTTCGATATACAATGGCTCCTTCCTGTCATCCCAGTTTCTCTATCTGCACGTTCAACCCATGGTTATATTTGATACGTTGCACAGGTCAAACTGAAACCAGTGGTCTACCAATGTTACCAGTCTTCTGCGAAACACAGGAACACACAGAAAAAACAAGGTAATAATGATTGACCGTACTTGCATGCATGACATAATTCACATAGAAAATCCACCCCCAATATCAATTTCCCTCGTGTAATGGCCAACAACCACCACCTACACCGTCCAATTGTCATTTATATCAGAAGCATGACCAAGAGAAGTTCCGAACCTTCGAGCCCAAAGCTGATAGTCTTCTTCATTCTCTTTTACCCTGCCAAGGCAGGAAACAAATATTCATCTCTCTCTATATGTGTGTGTGGAATGATTTCATGTCCCTATTTCATATTGGTATAATGAAACTCATATTTTAAAAGACTGGCATTAATATAATCTCAAATTTTGCACACTAATCCATAAAAAAGAAAATTGAATTTGTACCCTAGAAAAGGTCAAAAATTCAAAATAATACCCTTCCAACAATGAATTTATACCATTCATAAGATAGACAATGAGATCTAGGCCTCAAAATCAACTTTTCTTTTTTCAAATTGCTCATCTAATGATGATAAGGCCATATACAAATCTGGGTTAAAAAAAGTTCCCTGTAAGGCCATGGATCAATCGTCCATGTTCATTGGGTTAAAAAGTACACCTTTTTATGGTATGTTTTCAAACTTTCTCTTGAGATTGTTCCTCTAGTGAAAGGAGTATATGTATAAAAACTGAGGTTAAACAAATGCCTCAATTGAAGGCGCGACGGGAGAATTTATAGCACACCCACTAAACAATGGTGATCCAGGGATTAAATAATGGAATAAAGGGACAGTAATCCAGGGATGCCCTCCAGCATCTAAGACAACTCAAAACATGAATTTGAAACTCAAGGGGATGTCTAAGAAGAATACCTTGGACATATGTGAAAATGCCAGCACCAATAAGGTAATATGTTTCCCAGGTTGTTTTTCTTTCTGATTGGTATATCTATTTCGCGGTTCATTGATCTTGAGACATGGCTTCCTCAACACGCCTAATGATTGTGCCAAGACCTTTGCCGTTTTCGATAGCTTTAACAGCAGCCCTATGTGCACCTTTGTGCATCTTCAAAAGTTTGTATGATTGCTGTACAGCCCATCGTGCCTGATTTGACATCTGGTATGTGGACATGATTTCATTTGCAGTTATAACAAATCTACAAAGCTAAAAGCTGACAGATAAGATCTAATTGGGGGAAGAAACGCACCATAAAAAAGAAAGAGGATGGATAATGAGGGTAAGAACCTGTGAGGTGGAGAGAGGAGGTTGGAGGAGCACACAAATGCTCCTGAATAGGTTTTCATCATTTTCGCCACCCTCGGCCTCTCCATAGACAAGTGCTTCAGCTGCAATACCAGCAAAAAGAACCATGCAGTACCTGCACGTTCGCCAGGGCACATCAAGAGAGCCACTATCTTCATAATGCATCATATAGGGCTTTTTCTCTTTTTTAGTGAGGTACTAAAAATGCTTAACATGCCTGTCAAACGCAGTACTGCTAAGTCGGCCATCTGCAAGCTCTTTTTCCAACTTTTCATCCCAGAATTGAGTGCCTGCCTGCATGCGAAGATGGTAAAATAAGAGCTGTTAGAAACCTAACAACAAGGGTTTATGGATCATGGCAGAAGAGAAAGCTGTGCAATTGCATTAGCCAATAAAAGAAAAAGAAGAAAAAAAAATACAAGAGAAATTTCCAGGCAAAAATAGTTTTGGCATTTGGCATAAGACAGCCATATATGAGTGGATCAGTGTTGTATGGCACAAAATGTAAAAAAAAGACTAAGATGTTATTATCTTCCCACAAAGTATGCAAAACAATAAATACTTATTGTATATTAAAATTTCCATTTGTTTCCCTTTCTTCCATTATGTTCAACTAGTTTTTACATGTTGACATGTGTCTATTTGTCTTGGTCTTCCATCTATCTCTGGTCTGGAAAATAATGCTTTGGTCATTTGGCATAAGACAACCATTCGTGTTCGGACCACCATGAGATCTTATTCCACTAGATCGCCCAAATGACCAAAACATTATTATCTTCCTAGAAAGTATGCAAGACAATAAATACTAATCCGATATTGACTGTTCCTCTATATGTTCAAGCTGTATTTTTGGTCATTTTATGTGAGCATATATGCCTTTTTGTCTTTGGTCTGGGTTATTGCGATCTATTACTCATCTCTCTCTTCTGGTGTGCTTGTAAACCCTTACCCTGAATCAGTATTTAGGTTTTAACGTGGTATCAAAGCAGCTATTGGTCCTCTTGTCACTAGTAAGTATCACTGGGTAAAAGAAACAAGACCTGCAACTCAACATCTAGGACTGATGTTGATTTTACAACTGTCATACAGACTGATGACATCACTGTACGGGCAGCTGGCATTGTCGTACAAGAGCAATTGGAAATACAAATTAAAAGCAGAAAACAAAGGTGGAACAACATAGTTAGCTAAGTACATAATCAGGAGGGTTGAGCACTTATATACCTGTCCCTGGATACCCATTTGGACTGCCACCAATGGATCTAAAATGACACCACGGATAGGACAACCCATCAAATATGCTGCACAAATATCAAAGTGACCCATCAGCAGAGCTGTACATATCACACACACATGCATTAAAGAAAAACACACACACACAAGGAGGATCATTAACAAATACATAAATCATGGTCACAATTGAAATTTCTTCAACATATGCCCCATATCTCACATGAGAATAAACATATTTGCTTTTAATAAATTAAGGATATCATTTTATTTAAAATTAAAAAAGTCGAATAGAAGTTTCGGATTATCAAGCTGCTGAGCTGTAGGCTAACTTGCCAAAATGTACCACACAGCAAGATGGAGAGAAAAATAACACAGAGATATCGAATCATTATAAATGTCTTGACAAAATATTGTGTGTTTTAGGAAGTAAATGAAGATGAAAATAAGAGCTAGTGATCTCTAGAAATCAACACGTATTTTCCTCCTGTCAAATTGTTAACTGCTGAAAATTTGATATCACTAAAAGATCATTTCTGTTGCAATCATCAGAAAACTATAACATTACAAGATGAGGTTGAATCTTGATATCCACGTTATCTTAGATTTTTTAAATGAACAATATGGATGCACTAAGTACATGCAATTAGCCAACAGTGACTTATATTTACTATCAGGACATGCAACGGATCTTGTGCTTTTCATAGAGGTAGATGACATTGTTATTACTGGTACTCAAAAGAAGAAATATTTTGTGTCAAAATAAGAAAATATATTGCATTTCTCAAGGTTATTGGAAGGAATGGAAAAATTCTGAACAATATAGATGCACTAAGTACATGCAATTAGCCAACAGTGACTTATTTAGTATTAGGACATGAAACAGATCTTGTGCTTTTCATAGAGGTAGATGACATTGTTATTACTGGTACTCAAAAGAAGAAAATATATTGAATCAAAAGAAGAAAATATTTTGTATTTCTCAACGTTATGGGAAGGAATGGACAAATTCTTCTCTCTTTCATTTCACCTCTATGACGATACATAAAGATACCTCATTATGGCTAATTTACAATAATATGCTTGAAAAATTGTCCTCTGTTTCAGTGCTTTTTTTGCCAGAATTTCTGCTTTTGAGACATATAGAAGACCGGTGTTTAATATTCCCTTGACATACCTCAATTATTTTTTATTTATTAGCATTTCTGTTTTAAATATTATAGACACTCCCTGCTATATAGAATTTGAACCTGAACCCCTTTCTAATACATTATTTTTGTCTCTTGGTCATGGTTTGCTATTCTCTTTGCAGCCTCAAGGTATGGATTTCTTGGATTTTGTACATGTGGGCACACTGCATTAATTGCGTGAACAATGTTTGGCCTTATGAAGGTCGAGTAAGCCTTCCAACAAACTTCTATGTTGAGCAGTATTTGAAATCAATTCCCCTTCATTAGCTAGGAGTTTTAGATTTACTTGAGCTTTTGCAATCCAACATGCCAAATTTCTCAAGCAATGCCATTGCATATTTTTATTGAAGTACAACCAAACCTCCTGAGAATCTATACACTTTTCTGGCAACGAAATATTTTAAGCTCCCAAGGTCCTTCATTTAAAATATGTGCGCAACTTCGTTTCTTTAGTTTCGCAATATCCAACTTGTTGCTCCTAGTAATGACTGCATCATGTACATATAAGAGAATGAGGGTTATACTTCCCTTTGTTAATCAAGAAAAAATTGCTTGCTGCAGTTCACTTATGGCTTTTCTCAATTGACATACAAGGTGAGGGAATTTGTTGTAGATAAAGCCCATAAGTTGTGCAATATAGAGTTCCTCCTTCAATGTTCCATGGACAATTTGGTTGAGCTCCCATACATGTATGACCATCACAGCAACCCTTGTAATTGCAGCTTTGACCACTGGGACTGAAAGTCTCTTCGTATTGTACCACATACTCTTGGTTGTAGCCTTTGGCCACTAGGTGCACTTTCAATATTTCTAGGCTTCCATCATGTTTAGTTTACTTCAAAAATTCATTTGGAACCCACCATATTTTTATTTTGAAGTAAATGAACTAGCTCCCATGTTTCATTTGGACTTGAGGCACAAACTTCTTTCCTCCATAGCTTTTCTCCATCACTGATCTAGTATGGCTTCTCTGAATGACATTGGCTCTTTTATTTTCAATGGCTGCCATACAAACCCCATGCTCAATAGAGATAGCAAAAGAGACATATTGATCCACAAGATAACGTAAGCTTGGGTATCAAATGCATCCTAACCTCCTAGATGGACAGGTGAAGGAGGCACTAGGGCGTAGACATGAGAAAATGCTGTAGTGTTGCCAAAGACAGGTTCTTTGTTTGACATATTGACTCCCTTCCATGTGTCTTCTTTGATATGTAAATCGAATAGAAGAAAGACTAGAAATTTCTTTGGCGGCGCATGATTTGCACTGGGAGAAGCTGTTGACGCATCATGATCAAGCCTCTGGGATGGAGATGTACTTGCCCCATTGGGTTGCTGTGCATAATTTTCACAATAGGAATTGGTGGAAGAGGTTGTGGTGCACTCATCTTTATGTGTTCCCCCCCCTTGCACAGATGCCTATTATCTTTCAAAGATCCTATGAAAGAAAGGAGTGAAGGCCATTATAAGAAGAAGAATAGTATGGATTAGCCTCATTAAAGGTAACATGGCGAGAAGGAATCACTCTCCATGTTGAGGGAATATAGCATCTGTAAGCCTCATGGTTTGGACTCTGACCAATGGATAGTCATTGATATGCTTTGAGCTGAAGTTAATTGCGGAAGGAAGAATTTATATGCATAATATATTTGCAATCAAATACAATCAAGAGTAATCAGCAGTGACTCCATAAAGTTTACAACGCACAGTGGTTCCTAAAAGTACTGATGTAGGGAGGCAATTAATTAGGTAGATTGCCACTAGGAAAGTGCCTCGCCACAAGGAAGGACTATGAGAATCAAGCATCATAGGGAACATAGTCTCCACAATCTGTCAATTGTTCATTCTGTAAACCTATTTTATTATGGGGTGTTCATACACGAAAACTAATGTTGGATTTCATTATTATTCAAGAAATATTGAAAATCATTTGATGTACATTCGCCCCCATGATCAAAACTCACAACTTTAATGTGTTGCGTGAAATAGTTCGTAACAATGGCCTGAAGTAGTTCAAAGAAATCCAAACTACAGATTTATCTTAACAAGAAAGATCCAAGTATATCATGGCGAGGATTTGAAAAAGAAACAAAATAACGATATCCATAGACAGACTTCATAGCTGAAGGGCCCCAAACATCAAAATGTATTGAGTCAAAAGGTTCATAAGCAATATTTTCTTTGTGAACATCACAAAAGAAGAGCAGATGTGCATGCTTGTCCCATTGACAACTAGTACATAATGAATGTAGACCAAGTTTGCTAGATGAAATTAACCCATCATTTACAAGTCTTCATAAGTTCTTCAAACCAAGATGCCTAACTCACCTATAACAGGATTCCAAAGAAGTCTAGTTGCTAAATTACATGCAGTGTCTACTATAAGAGCAAAAGTATGTCATCCTCCAAAACATAAAGTTTGTTATCCTGCACCCTTTTAGCAATCAACTTCCTCATATCTTGGTCCTTAAAAACAAAAGTTCTGGAAAGAATTCCAATTTGCCTTTAAGATCAGATGTAAGTTGGCATACAAAAATTAAATTCTTCTTGATTTTAGGAACCACAAGAACACATATTTGAAATTTCCAAAAGCAAATGATATAAGGATTGTGCCAATTTGAGATATTGGAAGAGATGAGATGACCTATCACCAATTATAACAAGTTTATACCTTTCTAGGGGAACTATATTATTGCAAGAAGACATGTAGCAGCCAAATCCTCGACCCTCCCATTCTCTATAATCAAACATCTATTAAGAAGATCAAAATTTCCGTCTCTATCCATAGCTATTAAATCTCAAGAAGGTTGAAAAGATGGAATCCTCTACAAAGAAGAACTCAAAGCCCAAAATAATATGGGTGCGGTTTGTTTAGAGCCGAGGCTCTAAACAATGAAATTAGAGCCCACCTTTAGATAGTATCAAAAAATATAGTTTCAACATTGGATAGCCTTCAGAATTATATTTTCATCTTTAATTATAAAATTTAAAGCATAAAAAAGTGTAAATCAAGCAGATCTATGAAAAACTTGAAAATCTTGAAAATTGACGGTCGAAAAATGCGTCGCAAGATGCTCTATTTCCAAAACTTGAAATCCATTTTTTTCTAATGTCCATGCATCTTGATGTCGAGATGATCAATTTGGGGATATTTGGGCATCAAAACAACCTCTTCTAGTGAAAGTTTTGGGGTAGGCTCTAATTTGATTGTTTAGAGCCTATATAAACTTTTCCCAAATACTAGTATGTTGAAGAGTCATCTCCAAAAAATCTGGTCTAAGAAGGTTGATGACCTCAAATTTTCCCTCAACCCATCCCATGTCTAGGTAAAAGGGTTGGGTTGGGTTGTGTTAAGTAGACAACCAATGTAAAATTTTGCCAAAACTTATCATGAATCTTGAATATACGATATCTGCTTGTATTAGGGTGTTCCCCATAAGCGACACGCTGTATTGGAACCCAGGTACAGTGAGAAATGAGCAAGGGGTAGCTAGGGCAACCCTCAAAAGTGACGCATTGTACCGGACCCCGGGTACAGTGAGAAATGAGCAAAGCTTAGCCAAGGCATTCCCCGGAAGCGAAGCGCCACTCGGTTGCGATGAAAGATAAACAAGGGTTCCTGCGATATCCTGGACGAACGCTGGTAAACAAGCTAGTCCAAGAGAATAGGATTTGTCTAGCCACATGGAATGTAGGTATGTTTATAGATAAGAGCATGGAGTTAGTGGATACAAAGAGATATAGGAGAATAAACATAGTCTGTCTACAAGAAACTAAATTGAAAGGAGAAAAAACCAAAGAAATAGATGGGTATAAACTTCGGTATACAGGAAAGGATAATAATAGAAATGGCATAGGCATATTAGTCGATAAATATTTAA